ATTCCGCACATACTAAATGTTATGTTTCTACTGGAATGTTTTTTGAACTTTTTCATGAAAAAAAAATTCCACGTTGTGGTCAATGTTTAGAACTTCATAGTGTAAGTCTTAAAACAACTCATTGTATTATTTCTGGTTCATTTGAGATAACTAACACTATAAATAAATATATCAAATATACAAATAAAACTATTGTTGTTGACCCTGATTTATTTATGATGTTATCTGGTTTTCATAAAGAAACGGCTACTGATGTGTTACCTGCATCAATTAAATATGTCGACTGTTTATATAAAACATATCCAGCTGCTGTATTAACAAAAGTTGATAATAATATAACTGAAATAGTTTTATTTAATACTAATGTAATTGTTGAAAGTTTACTATTTCAGCAATCATATCATTATGCTGATATTACAACAACAAAATTTACTTTATCAACTCCAACTAAAAATGGTCAAATTGATACTGATAAAATATACCAAATAAAATTATTCAATTTTATTGGTTCTTCAATTTTTATTAATATTAAATTTATACCTAACATTACATTTATCTCTTCTACCCCATTTCCAATAACTTATAATGACTCAACTTCTTTGTGTTCTTTTATTCCACAGGCAAATATAATTCTTAAAGATGGAATTATGGGAGGCGTCTCTGAAGATATTGCTGATGATGATTTCTTTTCATGGGAAATTGGATATCAACCAACAGGTGATCCATTACCGTATATTCCATTAACAAAGAATGACCCATCATTTATTTTTGAGAATGAAATTGTTGGTTATTCTATAAAATATCCAGTACCTATTAGAATTAGTGAACATTACCACTATGTTACTTTAATTACTGAGAGTGATAATCCTATCAATTTAACTTATCCAAAAATTTATTCTCTACATGGATATGATTTAAATAATCTAGAATCATTCTCTTGTGGTAGTTTAGTTTTCGAGTATAATATGACTAAACAACCAACAAATACATATAGATTAGAATTTCGAATCAATTTGCTATTATCAAAATGCCATGGCTTTTGTTTGTTTCTTTTTATTCTTTATCATTATTAAGAAAGAATTGACTCACACCAATAGCTAACTTCTATATCCTTAGGTTTAAAACTACAACTGGAACAAAAATGACAATCATAGAAAATTATTGGACTAACAAAGATGCTTTGAATTATACGGTTTGTAATAATTCATTTGAGTGTGAAATAGAGGATGAATGTGACCCATCTGAATCAAGTTTAAGTCCTTTGTCAGACCAAATACAAAAGAATTATACAAAAGGGTGTGCTCCATTTTGTGGCGTTTGTCCATTTGGATATTCATGTAACCAAGCTGCAAGATGTGTTAAAAATTCAATTCATAATACAAGAAGTGATAGCTTAAGTATCTTCATTGGTCTTTCTACAATTCTTTTAATGTTAATTTGAATTGTTTGTTTATATTATTTTAAGTTGAATGGGTATAATCTCCTAATCACAATATTTAATCTTTTTTTATTTTTATTAGGTAGAACTTAAAAGTTTTATTCCATAGAACAAATAACTAGTATCCACTTATCTCAATTTTACAACTTCTTATTGTCTTAAAATTTCCTACTTTCTTGATGACAAAAAAGAAATTATACAAAAGTAGGGTTTGGTTGCAAGTCGTTTTTATTATTAATAGAGTCTACATTTGATAATTCAACAGCTTACAATATCTGTAATGTTAAGAGTAGTAACTATTCAATTGGGTATGCTAATGATTTATCAACAACTGGAAAGCAATAACATAATTTTGAAAAAAAAGAAAAGAGAAATTATATAATTCATAACATCACAACAAATAAAACTTGTGTTTGTTTCAAATTTATTGAGACATTAAAACTCAGGAAACAAAACTTATTGTTTCAGACAACACTTTAAAAATTTCCAGAAAAATCTGTTTTTAGAGTAATATTTTAAAGAAAAACTATAGAAAAGAAGAAAAATAAAAAGACAAGAAATAATGAGATCTAATTTAGCCAATTATATAAAAGGAACTTATCTATAAAACCCTATATAATGCAACCATCAATTCACGATTACTTCTCAAATGACCAAACAATTGATAAACCAGTGCGTGAGAGAATTGACAAAGATTTTTATGCCTCTCTTCCAAAAAAACCAGTTGAAGAACCAGATTGCCAAAAAAAGGACGTCTATTGTAATGCTTTTAAAGTTAATTTCTCTTCAATGAATTTAATAAATTATGAAGCTCGTTTTGAGCCAGACACTGAAAATACTTCATTAAAGAGAGCACTCCTTTTTGCCCATTTCCAACGTAGAGTTATTACTGATGGTAGAATGGTTTCAGTTCCAGAAGAAGTTCCAGAAGATAGACGAAACTTCCAAATTAAAGCAAGAAGTCAACAAGTTTTTGAAGTTGAACTTGTACCAGCTACTGGATCAAATGACCTTGATATTCAAAAAGCTAATATGTTATTAAAATCAATTATTATTGATGGAAATAAAAAAATGATTTCATGGAAAAAGAGTTTCTTTGATGTAAGTAAACCAGAAGAATTTACTTCTGATAGAGGAAATAGACTTGCTGTTCTTCAAGGGTTTTCATCTACTACACAAATCTTTGATACAGATCCATATCTTGTCATTGACAAGTCTTTTAGATGTTTGAGAACACAAACTTATTTAGATTCAATTCGTTCAAAAGATCAAGATACAATTAAAAAAGAGTTCCAACCAATGGTTCTTTATAATAGTCAAACTAAAAGATTAGAAAAAATTGATGATATTGATTTTGGAAAAAATCCAAGCTTTAGTTTTACTCGTAAAGATGGAAGTTCTGTTTCTATTGCTGAATATTATAAACAACGTTATCAAATTGAAATTAGAGACATGGACCAACCATTACTTGTACAAAAGAAAATAGAAAAAGATTCAGAAGGAAAAGAAGTTGAAAAACAACCATGTTATTTTGTTCCAGAACTTATGAGACTTACTGGTATGTCAGATGATATGAGAGCTGATAATCAATTTATGAGAAAATTAGCTGATTTGTTTAGTGCTGACCCACAAAAGAAAATGGATTCACTTAAAAGTATTGTTGATGGTAATATACAAAATATTCCAGACCTTAAACAATGGAAAATTAATGTTGAAAGAGAACCAGCATGTTTCCCATCTTATGTATTACACAATCCACAAATTATTTCAAAGAGTAGAAATATTGATGTGCCAAGTAATCGAGATTGGAGAACTGATATAAGAAACTTTAATTTTTATGATTTAAAACCATTAGATAGATGGACTGCTATTGTACCAAGTCAATGTATGAGTGAATTTAATTCATTTGAACATCAACTTGCTAATTTCTATGATCGTATTAAAGTTTCATATAGACAACCTAATATTATTAATTTAAGTGGAACAAATATTGATCAATATAAACCAGATTTAAAGAATAGTTCTATGGTATTAGCTGTTTCAGTTACAGATAGTATTTATGAACAAATTAAGAAGTTTTGTGTTGATGAAAATGTTCCAACACAATGTATTAAACCAAATACTTTAAGAAGACAACCACCTACACCAGTTATTCAAATGATTACATTACAAATGCAATCTAAGATGGGAGGAATTCCATGGAAAACTGAAATTGATTCAAGCTTTGCTGATGGTATGACAGTTGGTATTGATGTTATTTCAGCAGGCAAAGATAGGGAAATTGTTGCTATTGTCAGTTCAGTTGATAAAGACTTCACAGTTTATAAAAAGAGTTCAGTTGTTGAAAAGAAAGGACTTCATACTGCTGGAATTCATATTGGAGAATTTATGAAGAAAGCTCTTGAATCATATACTGAATATAATGGAAGTCATCCAAAGAAAGTAATTATTTATAGAGGATCTGCTAATACTGGGGATTTGAAAAATATTCAACAAGGAGAGTTAGTTGAAGTTAAAAAGGCTATTACTGAATATGACCAAAGCATTCAATTTATTTATATTACTGTGAATAATAAACATGATATGAAATTCTTCTCAAAAGATGGAAATAATTTTATTAATCCATTACCTGGAACTGTTATTACTCAAGGAGTTACTAAAACAGATGTATTCCAATTCTATTTAGTTTCTCATGTTCCAAGAAAGGGATTAGTGAAACCATCAATGTATTTTGTTTTAGAAAATACTATTGAAAATCTTTCACAACTCTCTCTTTATAATTTTACATATGAACTTACTCATTTATATTTCAATGGTGCTAATTCTGTTTGTTTCCCAACACCTTTGTATCAAGCTAATAAATTCTGTAAAATGTTAAATGATTGTGGGTATGTTGAAGGTACTAGAAAATCAAGTAGAGGAGGAAATGGTGGTTTCCAAAGAGGAGGAAGAGGCTTCGGTGGAGGAAATGGACGAGGCAGAGGCGCTGAACGTAGAGAAGACAGAAGAAGAGATGATCGTGACAGACATGACTATGATCGTAGAGATGATAGAGATAGAAGAGATTATTATGATCGTAGAGATGATCGTGATAGAAGAGATTATTATGATCGTAGAGATGATAGAGATAGACATGAATATGAATCAAGTAGAAGAGATGATAGAGATAGACATGGATATAGTTCAAGTAGAAGAGATGATAGATATGACTATGAATCAAGTAGAAGAGATGATAGAGATAGACATGGATATAGTTCAAGTAGAAGAGATGACAGAGACAGATATGAAGAATCTAGCCGACGTGACGATAGAGATAGACATGGATATAGTTCAAGTAGAAGAGACGACAGAGGAGATAGATATGATGACCGTTCACCAAGAAGAGATGATAGAAGTTCAAACAGAAGAGATGATAGAGATCATCATCACTAATTGATTAAAGTCTAATCAAAGAAGAATATTTTTAAGCTTTTTATTATTTATAAAAGAAGAAAATTTTTTTTAAATTAAAAAAAAATAAATGAAAAAAAAAACTTAAAATTCTGAAAAATCATATTATCGAATGGTATTTCAAATACTATTATTTATTGTCTTTACTTATTCATTTGAAATGTGGCAACTCACTGATATTCATTTAGATCCTATGTATACTGTTGGGAGTGATCCATTAAAATTATGTAGAGAAGGAAAAGGGAATGCAGGGAAGTATGGAGATTATTCATGTGATGCAAACATGGCATTATTAGATTCATTAGTTAAATTTATCAAAAGAAATACTGATGTAAATGGAAAAGTTATGGTTTATAATGGTGATATTGTTTCACGTGCAATCCCTAAATATAATTTAGATTATGTAAAACAATCGATCGTTAATGCTACTGCTTTATTAAAGAAATTTGAAGACTTTTTCATTATTCCTATGTTAGGAAATCATGATGTTTATCCTGCTAATCAAATGGCTATTAATTCTCAATGGATATTTCAATTTGCTGCTGAACAATTTGCTCCTTTCTTATCACAAAATGCTATTGAATCATTTAAACATGGAGGATATTATACTATGCCATTTCCTGCACATTTAGGTATTAAAGTTCCTTTAAATGCTGTAGTTCTTAATACTGTTTTATATTATAATTATAATAAACAAACAATGGATTCTACAGATCCTTTAGGACAATTTGAATGGTTTAAAACAGTAATGGATGGATATAGAAAGACTGGACAAAGAGCTATTGTTAGTATGCACATATGTCCTGGAGTGGCTGAAAGGTTTAATTATTCAGACCAATTATATCCACAATATAATGATAGACTAGTTGATTCATTAGCAGAGTATAATGATGTTATTCTTGGAGTATTATGTGGACATTTACATACAGATACTTTCAGAATTTTAAGTAAAGGAAATAAGAAGGTAATGGCATTTATTGGACCGTCTGTAGACACATGGTTAGGAACATCACCTTCAATAAGAAAATACGATGTTGGAAATGGACAAGGATATATGAAAGAATTTAAGAATTATCACTTCCAATTACGACCAAAAAAAGATAAATTAAAACCTAAAACAACTATTAAACAACCAAGTGATGGATTTAATAAATGGAAATTCAATTATGGATCATCGTCAGAGTATGGATTAAAAGAATTAAGTCCTAAAGAATTTGAAATTCTTGCAGCAAGAATGGATAAGGATCTTCAATTATTTAATAAATATCATCTTCATTTTAGAGCAGATACACCAGGATTTACTTGCAAAGGAAATTGTAAAAACAATTGTATGTGTGCTGTGAGATATCCAAGACAGAATGAATTTGCAAATTGTGTAGTTTGGAATTAAGTCTTATCAATTCTTTCTTTTGGTTTCAGTTGATTGCAACATTTTTTTGATTTTAAATAATAAATTATAATTTGTGATGCATTTCTAATATTTCTCTAAAACCAAACATTAAAACACTTAACCCATAACCAATTGTTACTGAACGAAAGAAATACATATTAGTGTTGATAGAACAAAATAATAATTCCATTAAATATGTAAAAATTGATATTCCTACTAATACTTTCCAACGAGAATCACTTTTTTCAATTTCCCATTCAATTGGTTGACGAATTGATACATCTTTACAAAGATCAGCAAAAGTCATTTGAGGAGGGCCAATATCAGTACAATCATGAATGATATAAGAACCACCAAATCGAATTTTTTTTGATGTTTTATGAATAAGAGCATTTTTTATAGAAGGACCAGCAACTCTAATACATAATGAAGCAATTAAAAAATGAACAACTGCAGTAGAAAAGAAATAAACTAATATTGGTGGAAGGAATTTATAAACAACTAATGATAATATAAAAGTTACAAAAACAATTATATATGAAATTGGTTGAGAGTTTAAAGGAAAAAATTGAATAGAGACTGTAATCTATTCACATGAGTTATGTTATTTTTAATATTTAAAAGATAATGAAATAGATAGCAAACATATTCTAATGATGATCCAATTAATGAATCAACTATTCCATGGAAAAACCAAAATGCAAATAAAACTAATAATCCATATTGAACATCTGGAACAGCATACATAATACGTGTTGCATTTCTAAAAAAATGAGAATTTGTATCATCAGATGCACACACTCTCATAAAACATGAAGTTGTTAAAATTGCACCAATTGCTATGTTAAAAGAACCAATACATAAAGGACTATGAATAGGATGTATATATGAAAGAAAACAAAGGAATATCCATACAATAAAAGAATAGTCCCAAGAAAGAGTATGACCATCATTTATTATTAATACCAATTCTGAATAAATAAATATATGATCAACTATTCCAGTTTCAAATTGATAAAAAAATTGTAATAAAGAATATATTGATGACATTATTAAAACTACTAGGGTTGTTTTCCATGGAATTTGTTTTGTTAAATAAATATGACAAATTGTAGATGATATAATAATTAATGGTAATTGCAATAGATGTTCTAAAAGAATAAGAATTAATGATATAAATAACATAATCATTCTGTTTTGTTTTGATAATTGTTTTTGTGTTATTGGAATATTAATATATTCAGCTACATTTACTGCATTTTTTCCATATAAATTATATAATATTCTTTTATGTGGATCTTCTAAGACTGAATATGCCTCTGCAATAGCATTAAATTCAGTTGAATTTGGATTTCTATCTGGATGATATTGTTTTGCTAATAAATGATATCTTCTTTTAATTTGTTGCAATGAAGAAGAAGGTGACACGCCAAGTATTTTGTAGTAGTCATCATTCATTGACTAATTATTAGTTCTTTTTTAATTTTTTATAATAATTATAATATAAAAATGTATATATAACAAAAAGAATTACTACAACAAAAAATGAATGACAATACTAAAACTGTTTTGTAAAAAAATTTAATACGTTATAATCACTAAAGAACTTAAAAAAAAGAAGAAAAAAGAATAAAAATAGGTCAAACATCTTAAAAATCAAAATAGAATGAACGGAGCAAAAAATCAACCAAGTTTGACAAAAGAAAAAAGAGAACAATTTTCTGATGTATTGTATTCAATCTCTCATAGTGAGAAGTACGAAACAGTTTTAAAAGAAGTAATTGAAAATGGAAAAGAAAATGATCTTGAAGCAGTTCTTCAAGAATATGTTGATAAAAGAGAAACGGAAATTCAAACTATTTGTAATGACCAATTCCAAAAATTTATTGGATGTACTGAACAATTAGGAACTGTTAAAGAAAAAATGATTAAAACACAAGAACGGTTAGAAAAAACAAGTTCACAAGCAAAAGAATCAAGTGATATTTTATTTAGTAAAATTAAATTATTAAGTAATAATAGAGTTTCGACTGTTAATATTATGAAAACATTAGGTTTTGTTGAAAAATTAAAAACTATATTAGAAACAGTTAAAGGAATTGAAGATGATATTAGTAATGGTCATATTTCAAAAGCTTTCATTGTTTATGATCGTTTAAGAAAATTACAATTATTTGAACAAAATGAATATAAAATTATTCAACTAATTAATTTAAGACTTGAAACTATTAAAAGTAGTATTAAAAATAAAGCTATAAAATTATTTGATAGATGGTGTGAAGCTGTTAATGAAGATAATGAAAAAATTGGTATTTCAATACTTGATCATAACAAAGAACTTATTGTTAATAATGCCAGTTCTAAAGAAGAAGATTATGACGCTTTTGAGAAATCAGAAATAAATTTTGTTTGGTTATATGAGGCTTATTTTATTCACATGTCTTTTCATACTGAACAAGATTTTATTAATCAATATAAAGATTTACAAGAACAACGATATACAGCAATTCAAAGTTATCCAAATCAATCACTTCAACAAATGTTAAGTAAAATGTTAGGATTTTTCGTGATTGAACATCAAGTTCAACAAACAACAGAAAATATTGTTAAATCTGAAGATTTACAAAAAATGTGGGGAGATGCTGCTCAAAAACTCAAAACATTTTCTTCTGGTTATCTTAGTCTTAAACAAGGACTAGACGTTTTCCTTAAAACTAAAGATCAAATGACATATTTTATTAAAGCTGTTAAGGTTTATGATTATGATGCTTCTCCTTTAGTTGGTGCATTACAAAGTATTTTTGCTAAATATGCTATTAAAATTGGTGAACAATATTATGAAAGATTAAAAAATGAAATTAAACCAGAATTATTCCAAGCCACTGCTCCTACTACAGAATTACAAAAACAATTTATGACTCTTATTGAAACTACATCAAATCCAAATATGAAAAGTATTACATTACCAACAATATATTCAAGAGCTTTCTATCTTTGTTTAGAAAAATTGGTACCATTTATTGAGGAACTTGAAAGATATGAAATGGAATTAGACATAGCACTAGAACCAATATGTGGTACAATGCAAGAATATCTTTATGAGCTTTTAAAAATTTATCCTGAATTTTTAAAATCAAATAATAAAGCAACATTACAAATAACATACCAAATTTTGGTTGATTTAGAAGGGTTTGAAAAAACAACACCATTAATTTGTTCATTAATTTCTGATCATTTTGGTAAACGATTTAGTGACTTAACCAAAATTGCTAAAGAGTTTAATATTAAACAAAAGACTGAATCAATTTATAAAGGAGTAAAAGAATGGATTTGTGAAAAATATTTCAATACGATACAAGACTTTATGAAAACATGTGATACAATGTCATCAATTTCATCAGAAAAGTCACATGAATTTATAGACTCTATTATTAACTTTACTAAAAATCAATTTTCACAATTATCTATTTTATCTCCAGTAGTTGTCTCAGAGATTCAAACTCAAATGTTACAAAAATTAAATGAGTCATTAACCAATCTTATATCTAATTGTCAAAAATTCAATTGTAATTTTATTAAACAATTCCAATGTGACATTAATGCAATTGAAAACTTTTGTATGTCTAATCCTACATTTAAAAGTCAGGTTTATACCTTTGTTTGGTGTAAACAAGTATCAACATTCTTTAATTCACCTCATCCTGAAGAGTTTTTAGTTGAAGAAACAAGAAATAAACTTTATAATAAATTATCTGATAAAACAGAATTAACAACATTAATTAATAAATTTGATACAAATAGTCTTCCAAGAAATGACCCTCGAAAGAAAGCATATAGTACAGTAAAAGGACAACTCTCAAAATTAAAATTTTAATTGAGAATTAAATTAAAAATAATTAATTTAAGTTTTTATGTTTTTCTTAATAGAACTAAAAAATATTAAAAAAAACTAAAAAAGGAATATTTAATGTTAACGTTATTGGTCATTGTTTTGTTCTATAAATCAATGGCTTTACCAAAAATATTTAGTCTTTCTATTCGTAACAGTTGGGGAAACAAATACCAAAAAATAGTTGAAAGAAGAGATAATTATTTGTCATTAATAGATAATGATTCACAATACACTTTATCAAATACTGAGAAGACTTCAGTAGGATATTTATTCCAAGGAAAAGATGAAAGTATTAGTTCTAAATTTGTTTGTTTTTTTTTTATTTAAATTAATAACATAAATATTTTTTTATTTTTGTTATTAAAATAATATATTTTATTAAATACAATAAAATTAACAGTGGAGAGTTTAACAAATGAATTTATTGAATTATTTGTTCCACTTCAAATTCAAAGAAAAGTTGGTGAAATTGGAATTGTACTTTCAGAAGAGTCTGTTCGTAATAATGATTTAAAAACAGGTAAAAATGGATTAGAAATTAGTTTAAAAATGAATAATAAAGGAAAAGACCAAATGCTTTTAACTATTTTTAATAATAAAGATGATAGATATAATCAAGTTCATACTTTAACTTGTAAAAGTTTAAAAAGTGCACCAAGAAATACTGGGATTTATATTGTTTATAATGGAGAATTAAATACAATTTCTGTTTGTTTAACTAATTTCCTTTACTTATTATTCTAAATTACTTATAGTAATAGACTGATCTTTATCTTGACGGTGATCAAGTTAAATGTTCTAGTGAAAATTTTATTAAAATTCCTAAGAAAGTTTTTATTTCATTAATTGGAAAAGGATTTAATGGTTTGGTAAAGGAAATTAATATCGTTAATAAACTTACTAAACAACCTAAACAACAACTAATAACAAAAAAATATACCATTGATGAAATTAAAGGAAAACCTCACAACGAAATTTTATATGAAATTTATGATGGTATCAAAGGATTATATATCCCTTTATTAGATGCTTCAAAACAATCAGTTGATTATGCTCAAACCGTTAATAATTTAAAACATTATGTCAGAGATACATTAATTCCTAAATG